AGATAAGAGTAAAAACAATTTCTAACTGAATTTCTTTCTTTATATTTCAATAGAAATTTAAAACATACTTTCTGTATTTGATATACAATCAGTGTAGGCTTGTGAAATGTTTATTTGTGAAAATTCAGACAGGTAAATTATTCTCGTACGGTTAACATTTTTAATTCAGACAATTTCCACTTTGTTGGATAGAAAATAATACGTGGAAACGTTCGGAGTGACGTGAAGAGAGCGGAGTCGGGCGTGCTTATTAAAATGAGAGGATAAGTAGTAGCGCACCGTCCATGGTCAGACAGGCCTTACACAGGCCTTGTATCTATCTACCGGGGCAAGTTTTAATACGCGCATCAGCTGGAAGAGATTTTCAGAAAAAATTATTCGTATCAACTTTGAAACTACGTTTAAACTTCGCTAGCGCTATTACTTGAAATTTGTTTGATGTTACTTGGTTAAACAGTTTTTAGGAGTGATTAAAGACGCGACCGTGCCTCTTTATGACGAGCTTCGCCCAGAAATCATGTTAATCGTGACCGCGTCGAGAAGTTACGACAGAATTAATAAGACTACGAGTCTATGTTCTTTTAATTCAACCCTCCTGACACGGTCCGCTTTACATAAGTTCCGATTTTATTCAAGATTTAAACTTGTACAATCTGAGCAGTAAAAAATTTTACTTTCGCGTGCTCCAAGTATCACGAAATATATAAAAGGAAGAGGTAAAATGTATGGATAACAGCTGCCTGGCCTTTGTTGTACTAATTGAGGATTAGTTGCTATCTTAAATTCTACTTCAGAGAACTCGACTTTTTCTTATCCGGATCCGACAGATTTTTATACGAACGACCAATTATAAAGCAATTTCGCGGCGAGAAGAGGCGGTCGTACGGACAGAATTAATGCGGTGCCACTCTTTATAATTGCTCTCGTCAAGGAAATCGGATTACAGTTTCAGGCTGGTTCAGATGGAAAAGAAGAGCCGGCCGGAAACGAGGGGAGGGCGACGGTGGTGGCAGGGAACAAAGCGTTGCCGGCGCGTAATTCCATTCTTTTGAACGGAGAAAATCCGCGTATCGTGCGCGGGAGCGTCGCTCCCGATAGACCCTCGGGCCGTCCAGCATTTGTATTTCCAAACGGCCTCTTCCCTCTCTACCTACCCCTGTACTCTGCACGTTGCGCAGTTATAGCTAAACCGGCCGTCCGGGCTGGTAGGATGTAAGCGGCCGTTACAACGGGCGACGTGTTAATTAATGTCTCTTTAGCATGATAATCTGTACGCGATATCCATTAGCTCGTCAAAATACATCATGCCAGGTAAACCGATTTACCGGCGTCGATGAAATTACGGGGAACAGGTCTTCTCGAGTCACGTCGCCTTAAATTACTATTACGGCCTCGTGCACACGTGTCCGTAACGACAACGTGTGTGAAGGAGAATCGGGTGGTCAGACAATGACGAGATCGTGGTTTCATAGCCAGTTTCAACTCTGACACCGGGACATGTTATCGCCTAAGTACTATTTAGTTGTCACGGTCATGATACATCTTTTAATAATGTGACATTTAACTTTATATGAACCCTTAAATAGAAATAAACTCAACTTTATTATGAAATAATTTCATGCATAAAGTAAAGTAAAATAAATGTACATTACATATTTCATAAACGAAAACTTACATTAGAACTAATCTACATATTGTAACATGCATTTTTGTATTAAATTACTGCACAGTTTTACTAACTTATATAATATTGTATGTATTATAATATTTACAACATAGCATTAGAATTATAGAGGAAATGTACATATTGTAATATGCATTTTTATATTAAGCCACAACACAATTTTATTGAATTATCTAATACTGATTGTGTTTTAAAATTTAAAAGATTGCATTAGAATTATAAAGAAGTCTACATATTATAACATGGATTTTTGTTTGGTTTGCATTTTAATATGTTGAACCTTTTGGTTATACTGTAATAAAATATTTCTTATATAATCGCAGGATATTATTTAAATTCTCTTAGTAGTCGACGAGACCATGCGGCTCGCGGGTTAATTCCCTCCAACTCGAGTTCCCTCCGGGTTTTTGCTAAAATACACGCCGTTGCTCGTGTTACATAAGAACATGTATACACGCGTCTAAGACTAAACGGATTCTCCGGGAACTAACTAAAGCTACGAACGCTCCAGACTAAAAGATACTGCGAAATGAACCTGTTCTTATGGAGCAGCCCGTTCAGAACGTTCTCCACCCGACTCGCTTAATAAACAATTCT